CATGGAGGACTCCCAGTGTCTCACTATTATGTGTGCTCCGCTCACCTCCTCCCCCCTCCCTCCCCCTCCCCTGCGGCCTCCCTTCCCCCATAGCTCCCCTCCTGCGCTTCCCTCCTTCCCTCCCCCCCCGCCCCTCCAATACTTCGATGCCCAGTGTGTGTCCCGCGAACGGGTTTTGTCGCAGTTGGTTTTCATCATTCAATAAACATTACTGTCAAGATAATGCCGCCCTGGACGAGGCCCTTGCTCCGGGGCAGCGGGGAAACCTCTCGGAAAAACGGCGCCACAAAAGAGCTCGAAAAAGACGAAACGGGCGGCAGGCTTCGTTTCGGCCGCCGTCGAAAAAGGTATGTGGAGTTAACATCATTACCGAAATCTGCCTCTCCGATCATCTCAAAGGGCGCCCGCACGAAAGCCAAGCCGAAGCCGCCTCCCGGAGCACACTGTTTACTGGAATATGATCCACATATCTGATCCAGGCCGAGTGTGGTGGCCGGCCAGGGGGGAGGGGAGGGTGAAGGGGCGCGCTGAGGGGTTGGAGGGGCGTTGGGGGGAACAGACGGGGTTGGTGGGGGTTGGGGCGAGCACAGGGGGTTGGCCAGAGGGTTTCAGGAGTGGCTAATGGCGTCGAGGATGCTGTTGGGAAGCCCTGAGACCCGAGAGAGGCTGTAATCTAGTTGAGGCGCTCGGCAAGGATTGTTTATTTGCTTTGTAAATAAATCCCGGGCTACTAATGTGTCTCTCATAAAGTATAATACCTAAAAATAATTCCCTTGTTTTATTTACGAATACTTTTTTCATTTGGCTCTTGATCGATTTAAACGCATTCGAAAGCAAAGCGAAAAACAGCAATGTCAATTAAAAAGGGAGGAAGAAAACTATTGATTGATAAAACGAGATCCTGAAAGAAGGTTTGGTAACCCAATGCAAGATCAACATTGCAAAGAAAGAGAATGGCGAGTCACGTGACTGAGCACACCGTGACGCGCGTCGTGCAATTCGCAGAGAAAAGAAAGAACCAAGAGCATCAACCTGCAACGTGCATTTGCAATCTTTGAATCTGCTAATGCGTCTCTCAATCATTACATTCATTTCCTTCTTTCGCTTCATTCACAGTCCTTCCCCAGCGCCCTCCCCCCCCCTTCCCGCCACGCCCCCGTACCCCCCCCCCCCCCCCCGCGCCCACCCGTACGCCGGCGAGTCTAGGTTACCGTAAAGGGGGATTCCGGTAGTGCCCAGGAGGAGGGGCTCGGCCGGCGGCGAAACCTGGCGAAAGGTGAGACGCCTGGGAGTTCGACCGCTCGGCACTCTGACCCAAACTGGCACGGACGAAAGGGACAGCGGTTGGGGAAGAGGGGGCGGAGGGGAGGAGGAGAGGGAGGGCGAGGGAGAAGGGGTGGGGGGAGGAGAGGGAGAGAGGGAGGGAGGGAGGGAGGGAGAGAGAGAGAGAGAGAGAGAGAGAGAGAGAGAGAGAGAGAGAGAGAGAGAGAGAGAGAGAGAGAGAGAGAGAGAGAGGCAGAGAGAGAGAGAGAGAGAGAGAGAGAATCAAACAAACACAGAAAAATAGTCTCATATATACTCCACCTTTCCTCTTCCCAAATGTATCTCAAACTCACTTCCCACTTCCTCGTTATTACCTCCCTTCCTCTGTTCATTTCCACCGTTTCGAATAAATCCTCTCCTAGGACCCCGTCCCCGCCCCCCGCACTCGTTCGCCCCCGAAGGAGAGGAAAGAATCCGATGGCATCTTAGACGCTCCGAAGCCGAAGCCAAGCGCGTTCGAATCCCTTCAAACGGAGAAGGGAAAAGGGGAAAAATCGATCGTCCTTTGAATGCAACTTCTTAAGGCTCGCGGGTCAGGACTGCTTAAAGGCGAACCAACGAAGCATGATGTAGAACCGATAAAGTAAAAGCCGTGACAAGGCTATTAGAGTAAAATTTAAAAGAAACGGAATAAAGAAGAAGTAAAAAAGAGAAAAAAAAAATGACAGTCAAGAGGCGTGTTCTGACCGGTAAAAGCATTAAACAGGGCCAAGTAATAAAGTGAAACTCGGGAAAAGATATAAACCATGAAGCTGAATCCTTTTCCCATTAGCTGACGCAAAAAAAAAAAAAAAAATATCGACCAATGAAAATTTCATATAACCCATGTGCACATTCACACACGCGCAAATAGATACCACATTCACACAAATAAATAATTATATATATATATATATATATATATATATATATATATATATATATATATATATATATATATATATACATATTGTAGCGTTTTCTGTGTTTTCTAGTCATGAATGGCTCATGGCACAATTGCAAAAGCATCGAAAGAGTTTCCGCTTCTTTGTGCGACCGTACGTTACGTTGCGCGGCCCCGGTGTGCGACAGCGGACCTCCGAGCCGCGGTGCATGGTCGTTCACGCTGATTATCAACGGTAATAACTGTAGTCATTTTAGTTCTCAACAGTTCCAGTAAACGATTTGTAACAAAATT